TAAGTAAGAATTAGGTCCCCTCGGAGGCGACGGTACTCCAGGGGAAAGAGATCAAGCATCGCCAGACGCGTTTCGTAGCCCACGGATTTGAGGCCGGCAACCATTCTCGTGGCGGCTCGCTGGACACGTTCAATGCGGGGGACGTCTTCCGTGCGTCCTGAGTAGACAACTTGGTTGACGTATTCCGGGAGCGGTCTGAAGTAGGCCCCATAGAGCGTTTGGAAGTCCACGCGGGTAATACGGGAGAAGGTTTGTCGGATCATCCGTAAAATGGCAGTTATTGGCCTTGAGTGCATTTAAGCAAGTTCTAACAAAACCGCGGCAACATTGGGCGATTTTAGAGGTTCAAAGAAACACTATTAAATGCTATAAATTCATGTTAAATTATCTATCCTTTAAAGTATATTTTCATAGAAATTCTTTATGTGCGTCCAAGGCTCGGTATCTCCATCGCCGCTGAACATAAGCATGCCAGAATTATTTTCGCCGAAACTATAGGGTTTTCGAAGCTGTGGCTTTAACAAGGAGTCATCCTAATCCATTCAAACCTTCCGGTGACATGTTGTTCGTAACATTTTGTTTAAGTGAGCCAAATTCTGAGGTCACGGACCATCAAATAATCGCATTTTCTTTCCGGTTTACGTAACATAATACACGAAATCGCACTTTAGCACATTTCGGCGTTCCTCGGTGTCGTTTGAGAATAAAAAACCTAAAGAATATCTAATGCAAATTCCATCTTGGACGACCGACTATTGACGTTAATTTGCTTTGCACTCCTAAGACTTAACAATAATAATCGCAAACTATATTTTGTTCGACGAACCTGAGCACAACACATTTTCCCGTTGACTTAAACTTCCATTAAATGCAATATTGTTTGACAAAAGCATGAACTTTGCAGTGGCAATGAGAAGGCCATCTCTGTTAATGATATCCTTTCCTAGGTATGCATAACTAGACACTATATAAGACGGCGTCAAATTGTTGCTGCAGGTTTCATCACCAGTCTGAATATGACGCTCTATAGGTGATGAGGGCCGTAGAACTCTTACCGTGATGACGGTAGCCGTTGTCAAACACCTCGACCAATTATCGTAACTGCTGGGTCGTGTCTATGTGCGACGCCGATCATGAGGCCTCATCCATGAACCTTAGCCACATCCAATGACTTTCGGCCTCGTATACTCATAACTGTATGCGTTTTCACTCATCTCGAGTACTTATTGTAAATGCCAGGCTTGCGTCCATTCGCGACGCTGATTATGAGACTTCGCTCATGCATTGTAACATCATTCAACGGTCTTTCATACCCATAACCATACGCGATACCACCTATCTTTGCTACCTCTAGTGAACCTCAGGCCAGTATCCATGCGGGCCGGTAAAAATGTGGCCTCAACTATACGTGATAACCTGTCATACTCATTTCTTCGCTCGACGTCGCCTTATATTTCTACTTATCGCACCTCCTAGTTCCGTGTCCATGTGCGATGTTGAGTAACCGGTAACCTGATCCAACCTAATGTCTTACTTGCAACAGTACACGTTGTCGCTTACCTTTGCTACTTATAGTGGACACTGGACCAGTATCTATGCGAACCAATAAATACGAGCCCTAGCTATGCACACATACCTAGTCTAATGGCGAACGACGTACCTCACTCTCACAACTTTACGCGATATCGCCTACCTTGATTACTTTTTAAAACCGCTAGGCCAGTGCCTATATCCGACGCCGATTATTAAGCCTCAACTATGCGCAGTGTCTTAATTGAGCTGCGAATGATATCCCGTCACACCCATAACTGTGCACGCTCCAGCTCATGTCTGCTACCTATAGTAAACAGCAGGCCAGTATCTATTCGGGCCGATAAAAACTAGGCTCCAACTATATGTGCTATCTTAATCTAACAGCCAACGATGGCCCGTCATACACGTGAATCTAATTGGTATCGCCCACCTTGGCCACCTGTCGTAATTGTAAGGCTTGTGTCCACGTACAACTCTGGGTATGAGGCTTCAACTATACCCAGTAGCTCAGTCCAGTGGCCAACGTCGGCCCGTCATACCCATAAATATACTCTATATCACCTGCCGAGGCTACTTATTGTAACCGTCAGGCTGAATATGTTGTCCTAACTATAATGGACCAATCCAACGACAAACGGCGGTCCTTCATATCCATAGGTCGTCCACCTGCCAACACCCCATGCCTGAAAAATACACAACCACTTTTAACAAATGATGTTGTCCTTATTGGTTACATCGGTACAAACGTAATGTGTGGTCAATCCACTTCTCGGATTTTTACTCGTCAGGGTTTCTGAAAAATATATTATCAATTACGACTCGTGCACATTTTCCGCGATATCATTTAGAAGAAATAAGTTAATGCAGTTGCAGTGGCCAACTCACCAAGTGCTTAACAAAGCCATTTGTCCACAATTCGCGGTCGATGCCTACGCTGAACCTGAGGACTCATTACTATAAAGCAAAGATCTGTTGAGTGGGCGGGTGCTCGGTGTTAAATCCGGACGTTTAAAGCAGCGAATCCCAACTTCACCCGATTTCTCCCCTCTGATACCGATACAATAAAGCTTAATAAAATCGACAGCTCGGTCCTACTCATCTAATCTCGCAACCATCACATACTAAATCACATTAGCAATACAACCAACAGGGAGCACCCTTCTGGGCCTCAACCAACTCATCGTTCACTTCGACGTATTGCAACCTTCACTTGTAAGCGGGCCGGCCTCAACCAACTCATCGTTCACTTCGAAGTATTCCAACCTTCACTTGTAAAATCATGTCGACTATATCCGGATAAATGAGCCGGTAAGTAAGCCAAACCTGATTCGATCCAACTGTTTTATATAGTGATGAGGATCCAGCTGGAGACAGAAAGGACACGTTCTTCAGGGAAATCGCCTGTGCCAAACGGAAAAATCGCTATGTAACTGTCGACTTACGGATTGGCCGAAACCAACCCACGCGAGCCATGGTTTTGATACGACCGTTGTCAAACTCCTGAAACCGTCTTGGTTCCTCTCCTTAAACAGTCCAGGTCTCATAGACATACAACAGGACAGCCCGCACGTCAGCCTGATACACACTTTACCTGATAATCACCGACGCCATAAGTGTTTCAAATTAGTAAATGCGACCCGAGCGTTGCAGGTTCGCACAATGTCCTCATCTGTCAAGCTAACACAACTTCAAATATATATGCAACGCTGCACTACACTACCTCTCCAACCGGATCAGAAAAATACCTGCTATCTTCAATCAATCTTATATGAGCAGTGTTCTACCTCTGAGGATTTCATCCGCCATCCACAAATTTCTCCCTTCTCACGGAGTTGCACATCCAAGCTAAATAAAAAACGGTGTCAGTTACGGGGCTGTCCGGAAATTAAAGTATTTCAGTGCACTGATGGCATAGCATTGCTATACCTAGTTTGATAGGACACCCGCAGTTAGGCCCTACGTTTTCTTGACCATTCTTTGCCTACAGTTCACTTGTTCCATCACATGCAACTACGGACAATCTCACGTTTTACTCTGACTGTAATCTTCTGGTCATGCCTGACGGTACGCCACCCACCTGTTGGAATCAATATCATCATGATAACGTGACACTGGGTACTCAGTGAACACCAAATGACAATATAATTATCATCACTGATAGAAGAGCAAGAGATGCTAACAGAGACTCACCAAATACATATGGTATGACGCCTCAGACGCAACTGGTTTTGCAAGTCTTCATGCTTTTCTTTGGACCGTGACACTTCCATTCTGGAATAAACCCATCGTACAAACACGCAGCAAAACCAGTTATCTCTGGTCTCATGTCTCTGCAAGCTCTGGGCTACCTTAGTTGCGCACGGTCTAATCACTACAAGTCCCTCATAATCACATATGCCAAGCCCAGTTCACATCTATCGCATAATTGAATATCGATTGTTGCTTGCAGGGCGGGCAGTGTCGTACCATCGAAGCAGTTAGGAATTGTGATAAATTTCGACTGTTTGTTATTTTGGGAGGCACTCTGACTCACATCAAATTGCTTTCTAGCATGCTCTTCGGACATTTATCCCATCTCGAGTCCCAAATGTAGGCATGGCTGTCTTATTACCTCGCTTGAATGGTAGCTATAAACCACCACGAGCCTTCAATAGACCAGAGTATATCCTAACCACAATGACAACCACAAACGGTTCATCCAAGTTGTATATGTACGGGGCTGTCCACGAACCGAAGTACGGTGTCATGATGACGGTACCGCGACTACCATGATCACTCTGATGGCTTGCCCGTAGTTCACCATATCTCTAATATTTCCCAGACAAGCGTGTTCCCTAAAAGGCCGTTTCAGTCAGCTTAATTTGTGCAGGGACTTAAAAGCAGTAGCCATCTCATTATGCCGTCTGCTTGTCTTGCTCAAAAATCCAATAGTTCATCCAACGGGAATATTGGTGGCTCGGTATATCGGTGAAGTCAAACCCTGCCTTAAATAAGATCTAACGTATGCTGACCATCATAAAAAAACAAAAGCTACTAGCTGAGACGAATTCCTTGGCTTCGGAGGAGCGCTTGCCCCAACCATAGAAGAATTTTTCGTATCCAGATGGCAAACGGCCTCTTCAGTTTGAGTTTGCGTCGAAGTCATAGACGTGATTATTTTCAAATCCAGTGTGTAAGAAAACACGTGAAAAAGCGAGCATTTTCACAAAATTTCCCACCGTTTTTATAGAGGTAATGCTCGAAGTCGCCGGCGGCTAGACATACACCCAAAATTTCTCTGAAACCGCGGTTCGAAGGAGGAAAACTTTAAGATACAGTTTTAACATTTGATGATAAT